CGGTGGCCATGACAGCAGTTGCCGCTAGAGTGGCCCGCATGGGCAACATGGGTCCCGCTGCTGGACTCAGCGTGCACGCCACATCTTGCGCGCAGCGTGTCGTGGCCCGAACGTCTCTGCGTCCAACTCTGATGCAGCGCAGGAGGTGAACGAACACCTCTGGCCGCGCTCTGCACCCCGCGGCCGCCAAGCTCCCCCCTGTCGGCCCCGTTGGATCTCATTTCGCCGACACGGTCGAGAGCTCCAGCCCACTCCATTTCGTGTCGGAAGGCTGGTCGGAAGGCACGCGCCCGCCGAGTTCGATCTGTCTTCATTTGTCCAGACGGTGTACCTGCAGATGGCCCCCCCGCGCAGCCAATGAGGAGCGACGACGCGTGGATGTGGCCCGTCACGGGTCGCCCTCTGCGATGTGGCATCCATTGCAAACTTCAGAAAACGTACGTACTGGCCTCCACCATGTTGTCAACTGGTTTCATTTTTCATTTTGACTGCTGAACCTCACCATGTCGCTCTCGCCTCCATCGTCGCCCGAAGACCGCCGCTTTGTCTGCCCCATCGACGGCTGCAACAAGCGCTTCAAGCGCAAGTTTACGCTCCAGGAGCACGAGAAGACGCACACGGGCGTGCGCCCGTACGTCTGCGTCATTGACGGCTGCGGCCGCCACTTTAGCACGTCTGGCAACCTCACACGCCACGCGCTGACGCACAACACCGAGAAGCCGTTTGGCTGCGGCTGGGAAGAGTGCGCCAAGCGCTTCTGCACGCGCGAGAAGCTCGTGCGCCATCTCAAGACGCACGTCGGCTTGCGGCCGTTCGAGTGCAGCATCTGCAACAAGGCGTTTACGACGTCCGGCAACCTCGCCCGCCATGCAAAGTCGCACCCGGAATTGGGCTATGGCGACAGCCAGCACGAGGCGCTCTTGTGGGAGCTCCCCGCGCTCCTCGTGCCGACCAAGAAGCGCCGCGTCGCCGAGGAACTGGCGTTGCCCCTCGCGGCAAAGCCTCCGCTGCCGCACTCGACGGCCGAGATCGCCATGGCCCTCTCCGACGAGCCCGAGCTCTTCGAGTGGCCAACGTTCTTCCAGCCCTATGATGCGGTGCCGGCACCCGCAATGGTGTGGCCGCAATACGCCGCCCACGCACGCAGCGTTTACACCGAGCCGCTCCCCACAGTCTACTGCGCGCACGATTATCTCTATGGCATTTAGCATGATGGGCCTTAGTTTCAAGATAGAGTTAGCAGCATTACTTTCGATGCGATTAATTATTAACATGTAGCAATATTGTCGTGCCACTGTTCCGTAGTCAAAACGTAAAATAGCAATCGGTACCTGGTTGGGGCAAACAAGAGTGGCCAGACTCGGGCGTCCTGGATCTCTTTGTATCGAGAGCTTACGGGCGTGAAGTATTCAATGCTCGTCCGAGCCACGATCTCTCGTCTTCTAATCATCAATTCCTTGGACGGCCTTTCGCTGGCTCGTCGTTCTCAATAAGAAATCATCTTCCACTTCTTGGAATCGTCCCAAGCGAGCCCATCATCATGGACCCGGTGCGATGTCTCTGACGTGCCCAGCGACCTTGTGTCGTACCGGGTAGCGGTACCCATGTTGTCCAAGGCTCGCAATGGCAACTGCCTACAAGCGCAGAAGGCACGAGTAGCCTTGTCGCAGACCTCCGCCGTTGACTTCAACCCAGCAAAACCTCTCGATGTTTGTACATGTATGCAGTGCAATGGCGCCTCCGCGTAGAGGTTGCCGCGCCGTGGACGATCCCATGGACCGAGTAGCTGCCTTGTCGCAAACGTCTGGCCGTTGTCTTCAACGTATGGAAACCTCTTGATGTTTGTATGCTGACGCTGGCTCGAAAGGCAACTGCCGTGTCCAACATCCCTGTCGTGGCACCGCACATCCTTTTGACCGCAAAGGATGTGCTCCGACGGAGGCGCCGTCGGAGGCCACGTCCCTACGCGGCGAGTCTTTTCCAATTTTTTCATTTTCAATTTTCTGCACCATGGAGCCCGACCGACCCTTCCAGTGCCCCGTTGACGGCTGCAACAAGCGCTTCAAGCGCAAGTTTACCTTGAGTGAACACCAAAAGACGCATCTGGGACTGCGGCCATTTGTCTGCGTCGAGCCCAACTGCGGCAAGCGCTTTAGCACATCTGGTAATCTTGTGCGCCACTCGCACACGCACCGCCTCGACAAGCCGTTCGTCTGCGCCTGGAACGCGTGTGCCAAGCGGTTTTGCTCGCGCGAGAAGCTCGTGCGGCACCTCACGACGCACGTCGGCTTGCGGTCATATGCCTGCCATGTCTGCGGTCAGTCCTTCTCGACGTCGGGCAACCTGGCGCGACATATCAAGACACAAGCCCATGCGAGCTCGCAAGTCGATGCGATCGCGAGCTCTACGTGGATGGATCTGAGCCAGCTTTTTCTCCGGGACGAGCCTCCGATGGCAAAGACCAAGAAGCGCAGTCGCGTGGCCGACGAGATCGCAATGCCGCGCTTGCCGTTGGACCTCGAGCCGATTCCAGTGCTGCAGTTTCGCTCCGTCGAGCCGTGGAGCGACGCATGGAGCCGTGACGGACTCTGTTGTGCAATGACTGCAGGAGATGCATAGTTGTCGTTAATAGTATCCCCTCTTGGAATGGTGTGTGGCGTCATTGAATGAATCAGCGACCATGTGCAGTTGGTGCTGTACACAGAAGACTCGCCAACGTATGCGTCATGGTAGGCCGTATTAGTACCCTCTTCGTGCAGATGACTTTGTATCGAATCTACTCCAGATTCGACCTACGTCGAGGACATGAGCATGCTTCTTCCCTTTGTCATTTGTTGCAGAAGACGTTGCTACACGCTTGCCCGCTTGCATCCGTCCTCCACATAAAATACATCGCCCCAAGCACCCTCGTCGAGCGCTCTACGACGCCGCGGGCTTACATTTCGTGGTGCTTGGTCGTTGCTCTACCCGACGTCCAGACAGTACTAGTGACGTCACCGCAACGGAATGCATAGTAGTGTGTCCAGTGCCATGTTCTTGAGTATCCAACGCGTTGTAAAAGCATGGGTATCCGCCGTCGGATAGGAACTTGGATCTCTCCTGGATCCGATGCTCGATCCAACGAGTTCTGGGGCAGCGTTCGCAAAGACAAGCGAGGAGATGGCCGGGGAAGCGAGTTGTTGGGCTAAGCTGTACCCAGTACGTAGCTGTGAATCGAGAGCAATGGACTGCGTCAACGGCTCTCTAAATACTCGCGGCATCGGGGGACTACCTCGTAGGTTGTGGGTCGAATAGAGCATAGGCATTGGCTATAATTCATTCTTGGAGCACAGGCATTGGCTGATTTTTATTTATGAGGCACGTGCTGCCGCATAGGCATTGGTCTAAAATGGAATAATTCCATAACACTCGAAGTTCGTAGTCAGCAAATTCGACATCAATCTCGCATTGCGCCTCGCATTGGACGCGCCCCGTGATCGAGCCCGGACGGCCCGCTCGATCCTTGGAGCCGAAAGCCTCGTTGCCATCGACGGTACGCGCGTCTGCGCGTCGTACCGACGCCCCAGAGAGCACACGCTATGGTGCGAGTACAAGAAGAAGGCACCCTCGCTCACCGCCCCACGCATAATCCGAGTCGTGCAAGCCCCAAGAGAGGCTCCAGTCGGTTGCGTCGAGCTGCCGGTCGTCGAATAACCCGGCAACGTTGCACGACCGACGGATGAACTTGCAGTGACGCTGGCGCGCTGCTGCCACTGTGGCAACCGTCTTGCAGGACCACTGGCCAATGCCTATCGAGTATCAAAAATAGAGCATAGGCATTGGCTGGCGGTCCAAATGGAGCATAGGCATTGGCTGACAAGCATCCGGATTGTATCTGGAATTTTAGCGCACGGCCATTGGTAGAAATTCGGCCGAAAATAGATCCCTTTATGGGGCAAAAATACATACAAAAATCAAGTTTATTTTATATGGCATCTATTTTTATCGTTCAACGGCGCAAGAAGGTCAACTTTCGAAGGACATGGCGATGGACGACGGGATGATGGCATGATGGGGCGATAGGACGTCTTTCGAAAGTCGATCTTCTCTTCTTCTCTTCTTCGCTTTTATTAGGCACGTTTGTTAGGTCCCCACAATTTATGCGGTAGTCGTCCGGCATCGGGCCCTAAACCTAACCCTATACGATCGCGGTTGCTACAACGTGTGCCACGACCAAACTCTAGAGGGCTTGGAAATACACTGGCTGGCGAGCGTCCAAGCGCTACACCATGCGCGTCCCCTTCCGCAGAGGCGCGACCACCACTGCTGGACGCACGGTGCGATCGGCAACCGCGGTGCCACGCAGCAGTAGCTACTTTCGAAAGTAACACAAACTTGGGATGAGTAGCCAATTTATATATCTCTTCACGGATCCATGTGACGGCGTCGTCGTAGAGGGCTCTCATAGGAACGCCATACAAGGTCCATGCAGTTTACATCGCCTTGATCTAGCACCAAATGTGGCGCATGTCGACTTGGTTGAGCGACGAAAACGTCATTCCGACAGCATTTCGCACCACCGTCCAGTGATTGCCATGGCAACTCAAGGAATTGGGTTCACAAGATTCCAATTTCGGGAGTAGACAGTGGGACTCGTAACGTTGAGGAATCTTTCACCATAACCAGTCGCCCTCGGCACCCCATATTCATCGTACATTGGCCTCCCTCTTGCTGGCTCCAAGGCCAACAAGTACCACGTCAACCAAGGGCAGCAACCGCACATCCTGTTCGGTGCCCGTCAACAAGGCACGCGTGATTCGAGGCCACAACTTTCATTTTCATTTTCACTTTTGCTACACCATGGAGCCTGACCGACGCTTTGCCTGCCCCGTTGACGGCTGCAGCAAGCGCTTCAAGCGCAAGTTCACCTTGCACGAGCACCAAAAGACCCACACGGGACTGCGGCCGTTTGTCTGCGTCGAACCCAACTGCGGCAAGCGCTTCAGCACATCTGGAAACCTCGTGCGGCACTCGCACACGCACCGCGTTGCGAAGCCGTTTGTCTGCGCCTGGAACACGTGCGCCAAGCGGTTTTGCTCCCGCGATAAGCTCGTGCGGCACCTCACGACGCATGTCGGGCTGCAGCCGTATGTGTGTCATATCTGCGGCCGGTCCTTCTCGACGTCGGGCAACTTGTCGCGGCACATGACCATGCAGGCGCATGCGAGCACTGGAGTCGATGCGCGATCGAGTATGTGGATGGATCTGAGCCAGCTCCTCCACGACGATGAGCAACCGCTTGCGAGTGAGAAGAAGCAGCGGTGCCGCATTGCCCAAGAGATTGCGATGCCTCGCGAATCTGTGGACCTCGAGCCGATTCAAGCACCGCAGTTCCGCCCGGATGAGCCGTGGAGTGACCTATGGCGCTTGGAAGAACTGCTGTGTGACGATGGCGGGATGGACTAGAGTCGCTGCCCCAGATATATGTCTATGTAATAAAATGCCTCGACTTGATCGTTGTCAGCACTGAGGCCAAGAACGAGGGCCAAACGAACCACCGTCCATTCACCGGTCGCGCGCTGTGACATTGTTGCTCTTACCGAGTGCCACAACTACCATCTGCAAGGCCAGTACAGGATCTTGCACCACGATGGCCGCTTTGACTGTCAACAGCCATCGGTGAAGGTTCGTCTTGCAGGAGTCGATTCGTTTCGCAACTTGCGAAAACGGGATCAGAGCAGTCGCTCGGCAAGTGACGTCAACGACGGACCTTACGCCCCCGCCCCAGTGCCAACTTTCTCGAGGCATGTGCGACGTCGTAACGTGTTGAATTTGACGTCCACGCGGCACATGCCTACACTATAGTATCAATCAATCAACAGGGTCACAGTGCGACACCAGTACACCGACGTCGTGGGTGCGCCTCACCTAGGCGACGGTCAGGAACAAAAATTCGCAGCGCTTGACCCAGGTGATCACGCCGTGAGCACGACACGCTGGGAGGTACCCGCCGTCGGACAAACATGTCATTTACATTCTGCATCAAGCGTATTAACACTGCATGGTCACGGTCGCCCTGAGTGCGGACTGGTGCGTTCATAAACAGCTAATAGGGGTGTCGCGGCTGGCGACAGCCCGATGACCATCAACCATCAACGTCCTTCCTCCTTGTTCCAGCAGGTTCGACCGCTGTATCCCTCGTGAGCGACAGGGCAGCAACTGCGCCTCCGATGCGAAATAGCCACACTCCCGTGTCAACCATCAAGCGATGCTCCGCCTGCACGCTCCTCTATTCGATGGCGTCGGTTCCGAGGCCGTCGACAGCCAAAAATTTCACGCCAGAGACACACACGACACAGCGCAGAGAACTCGGGGTTTGTATACTCGACGGCCGCACCAAGCCGCGCCACGGCAGGACCCTTTTCTTAATACTGAGTCCGATGGGCGGGTGCCAGATGGCTGTGTGCCAATCAAATGGCGCCAATATGAGCCACCTGGTTTGCTTTTTATCCAATCCTGTGACCTCAAATTGAGTTTTGTCCAGTCAAAAGCTCGTATTCGTCCAAACGCACGAAATTGCATTCTTTTTAGCCAATCCAATGGCTACATTGCCTGGATCCAGTGATTGCGACGAAGTGGAAATGCACGGTTACCAACCCATTCATTCAAAGTGCAAAGTCATTGTTGGTTTTACCAGGTATCCCAAACCTCCTGCCCCGCCCATATATGGAGCCAGGCTAAGACGACCAAGATCATGCTCGCGCTCACCCACGACAGCTCTCTTATTCCTACCATGACCCTCCTTGACGACGACCGCCGCTTCGAATGCTCGATGCCCGACTGCACCAAGCGCTTCAAACGCAAGTTTACGCTCCAGGAGCACGAAAAAACGCACGCTGGCGTCCGTCCGTTCCAGTGTCTCCGCGACGACTGCCGGCGCATCTTTAGTACCTCTGGCAACTTGGCGCGCCATGCGCTCACGCACTCGGGCGAGACGCCGTTCGCGTGCGGCTGGAACGCGTGTGCCAAGGCCTTTTGCACGCGCGAAAAGCTCGTGCGCCACCTCAAGACGCACGCAGGCCTGCGCCCGTACGTCTGCAAGGTCTGCACGAAAGGCTTTACGACCTCCGGCAACCTCGCCCGCCACACCAAGTCGCACCCGCCCGACGTCGTCGCCGACGCTCTGCAGCGCGACGCCATGGACGCGATCCTGCTCGCGCTCGAGACGCCGCCCGTCGACCCGACGAACAAGTCGAAGCGCAAGACGACCTACGAGCTTGCGCCGCCGATGCTGCAGCCCATGGCCGCACCAGCCGGCGGCTACGCGCTCTCGCAGCCCGTGACGTGGACCATGTATGGCCAGCCCGACTTGTCGCTCGAGGTGCTCGACCTCGATACAGACCTCTCGCGGCTCTGCTTTCCGCCACTGCCGGCTGTCCCTTTCCACGCTGGCCACGACTTCCACGGCCCGTCGTGCTTTTGCGTCTAAGCTGAGAAATAGAATTCATGTTTACCAATGCGCGTCCGATCCGCTTGCGTACATTTGGTGTTTGTATACCCGCATCGCGCGCCTTTTTCCCGTAAATTAGTATTGCATCACGACTGTCTCAAAGATACGCTGCACTCCAAAGGCGTCGACCCTATCCGGACTTTCTCGATAACATCACCGCGCGCATCAGCAGCTCGATTGGCATGTGGGATGTCAAGACGACGATCGATATACGCGCTCCTTCGACGCCCGGCGACCATCTCGGATGACGCGGATGGAGATCACACCGTCTACACCACCGGCACGAGATCGCGGACCAAGCAGTAGCGACGACCAATGCAACGGCTATAGCTACACTTGTAGTGGTGTAACTCGATTCCCCGATGTGCGAAGGCAGCGGCGAGGTCTTACTGACGGGCAAGAGACTACCAAGTGTCTCCCTCAGGTCGTACTTGTCAACGCAGACGACCTGTACGACATCAATGTACGCGCTTATTTATACGTCGTTACTAAATTCAATCGGGCTAAAATTACCACACGCAATCAGAGCGTAGACAGGCAGCAATGGCAGCAGTCGCGCCGTTCACGGGCCCGCAGCTCACACTGCCCATTGACGTTCGCTGGAATTTACCGTCCGTTGTCTGCAGCGCCCTCATGAGTCTCTACATCATCGTCGCTGTCCGTGTTTTCTCTTTCAATCGTATCTCTCACGGTTTGCTGGCGTAGCCGCTCGACGCTTATCTATACGAGGCCTTTCCGTGGACCATCTCGGTGCCTACTGTCACCAGCCAGACGTCGCACCTCTCGTGGGCAGAAGCGAGTCCTCTCTGGCTCGCCGCCGCCACCGCGCGGTAGGCCACTGCCTATGACAACAGCACTATCCAACGATCGAAATGGCTTGTAGCTACAACGACACCGCCTTCGCATGCGGCGCTAGCTACACCTACGACCGCGAGACCAACACGGACGTCTACCGAAGCCCACTAAATATGTCGACCGAGTGCGCGCTGTACGAGCTCCACACGGGCGGGCTCCTCTCGGCCCGGCTCCAGTCGCTCGTGTGCGCCGTTGTTCAGAACACGTCGTCGTCTCCTGTCACGGGCGGGTGCCAAGAGAATAGGTTGTTTTCGCAGCGGGCGTCCGTGCTCTGCATCTGGTTCGCCTCCAGCGACAACGGCGACGACTTGACTGTCTATGAGCTGTTTCACGTGGCGCGCACCCCCCAGTTTCTCTACGGCATCTTGGGCTTCCGCGTCGCGCTCGCCCTGTACACCGCGCTTTTGCTTCGACGCACGTACGTGCTGCCAGTCCTACGGCTGCACCGCCAGTGTTATCAGCTCGCGGCCAGCCGCTGCGACGTGATCGTGGGCGATCCGACGTCGCTGGTCATCCTGGACCCGCTGCTCTTGATAGCAAGGACGCTTGACCTCTGGCTCAGCGTGCCCGTCGTCGGGTCATCAACAATTGCAGTGTCCCAGCTTGAAGCTTTGGACCACGCGATGCTCGGTTGCATGTACCTCTCCCGCACGGTGCGAGGCTCTCCCTCTCCCTCTCTTATTATCGCACGACTCGTTTAGGTCTGGTTTGCGTACGGATCCCTCGCACTCGTCTCGAGAGCGCTCAAGCGCTACCACTGGGAAACGCGGTACCGGCCCGCCAACCCGACCCTTCTCGCGGTCCTCGCCACGCTTCTTGCGGGCCCACTGACGTATCTCCAAGCCCAAAGCAACCTCCTCGTGCGGCTCTACGAGATGATTTTCGCCGGCCAGGAGCCCAGTACCATCCAAATCTTTTGGGGATTCCTCCTCTTCCATCTCCTCATTGCGGCACTTCCACTCGTGTACCTTGCGCGCGTTCCGTCCAGTGACGATGGCGGCGCCTCAGGTGCGTGGCATATATTGACCTGCTGCAACAACGTACTAGTTGGTTGTCTAGCGCTTCTCGCCAAGGCCGTCACGACGCGGTATACGACCGTCGGCGCCACCGACTGGAAGCAGCGCCTTCTGCTGCCGGTGTTTCTGCGGTCGGCCGGCTGCGTCCGCCAGCACGGCTGCTCGATCTACAATTTCTTCTATGTCAACGCGGCCTTTCGCGCGTGCCCGGGCCTGAGCCAGCGCGGGTCCGACTGCTACATCGTGCTCTACAGCAGCGGCGCCACCGAAGTGTGTCGCCTTGCGCTGCGGCGCCGCGTCGATTTCACGGCGCAGCCCGTGACGATCGAGCGACGAGACGACGCGTTCTTTGGCAGCGTCGGCATCGTCATCAACAAGGGCGCCACCAGCCCGACCTTTGTCGTGGTCGAGCCCACGCATGCGCCGTGCGAGTGGATCCAATAACGGAAATGGACACAAGGCTCGACATGTTGATTCCGCGCCTCCAAGATGTCGTCTCTCGCAACGAGGCTACGAGACACGTTCTCAAAGCACCTTGCGTGCACGCGCCGTCATGGAGCGATGCGTTGATACATTGAAAGATATGAACACCACAACCATATCCCTCCACTTAACGAGCAGCAGAATGGAGGTGGATTCGCATCCAGCGGCACCCTTTTGTCTTTTGTACTACCCACCATCAAGGTCGAGGCCCACCCGAAGTCCATGGCACACACTTGCTTGCTGCGCGACACGTTCTCCAACGACAAAAGCAACCACAGTTGACAATTACGGCGCGAGGGATTGTTTGTACCACGCATCGACTGTCGTTTGGCCCGCAACGATGTCGTTCACAACGCGGGTGATGGTGCCAGGAAGCCCTCGTAGCACGTGTTGGGCTATCGGGTGCGTGGCCAGAATGCGCCAGAGGTCGACCTCGGCATGGACCTCCACGTCAAAGCCCGGCGTGTCGAGCAGGTGGTACACCGAGAGCGGGTATCGTGCGCGCGCCATGAGCTTGGCAAAAAGCTGTGCGCTGGCTTCGTACGGCAGCGGCTGCAGCGCGTACGTTTGCGCGCTAAACCCGAGCAGCAGCGGCGCCTTGGCGATCGAGGTGGTCACGAGCAGCTTCCAGTCGTTTTGGCTGCTGAGAATGCTGTCGAGGAAGCTCTCAAAGTCGCTTTGGCGGCGCAAAAGCACGTCGCAGCCGTCAAGGAGCACGAGGCACTGCTTCTTGCTCGCGCCGGCAAACGCTTTGAGCCGCACCGAGACCTCGGCCTGGACGCTACACCCAGATAGGGTTAGGGTATATCGCTCAAGGCGACTGTCGTACGCGTCGTAGTAGCCGTCTTGCCCCAAGACTGCCGTGTCCAGCGTGTCAGCAAAGGCTTGTACGTGGATGACATGGACGCCGCCGTCAAAGTACCCGCGCAGCGCGAGGTCGTCACCAACGGCGCGCGCTAAATGCGACTTCCCGACCCCTTCCGGTCCCGTCAGGAGCACAAGACGCGTAAAGAACGGGTGGTGTGGCGGCCGCGCGAGGTAGGTCGAGACCTACAAGACTGTGACGTCCTGACGCGGACGAGAAGCGTACGACGACGGCCTCCTTGTGCCGAAATTCCAGAGTCTAGAGCACACAGAAGGGATAGTACATGGCCTTGTTGGAGGTGGGCCACAACCTCGGCCGCGTGCAAGTGCAGAAAGGGACTCGGAAACCGCTTCAGGAACGGGTCCCGCATCATCGCAACGGTCCCTCGCAGCGACGGGAAGAGGACGTCGTGGTGGTCGCCGTGGTGTGGCAAGAGTTGAATCTTGTCACTTTCCTATGCGACAATATTGGCACTGTCCAACGTACTATGATGGTGGTACCGCCTCGGCGCCGTTGAGGTCGTGACTGCGCACGGACGCGACCGCGCGGTCGAACGCGGCTTGCACCGACTGCCCGCCCCCGAGCTCCTGGTAGAGCCGCCTACGCCCGTCCTTCAAGTGACGGAGCGAAACCTTTTTATCGTACTGGGCAAAGATAGGCGCCACCCAGTCCTGGAGCTTGGACGATGCGTCCACGGCGATCACGTGTGGAATGCCATATCTTAAAAACGGGCCCGCTAAACGCCAAGAATTGGTGCCCGACGCATCCATACCGAGAGAGACGCACCCATGGACGCCGAGTGGCACACGAGCAGGAGCGCGAGCTGGACGCCGGACACAGCGTGGGGCGGCGCCAGCTGGAGACATTGGTCGAGCGCCTCGGCGTTGACCGCGGTGCCCATCAGTGGCTGACTGGCCTCGCCTTCAAAGAAGAGCTGGCCGGGCAGACCGTGGCCCGCCAAGTGGAGAACGCAGCAGCCGTCGACGAGCGCCTTGTGCAAGTTGAAAAGGGTCGCAAAGCCCGTCTTGAGGCCCACCATTGGGTGCTACAGAGACGTCTCGCCCATGCGTCAAAGAGCAAGTCAACCTCGGAGAGGGCTAGGCCCGACGCGATACCGTGGTACTCGGATTGGAAGCTCAGTCGCTGCATGGAGCATGCATCAGTGTCGTCATCCAACGAGGCAGAAACTACCTCGCCAAATAGGAGCGCGTTCACCGTGCGCGTAATGAGCGGGTTCATAAAGAGCACATGCTACGCGAATGCCTGATTCAAAAGAGCAAAGCGCTCGGTCGCATACGGTCAAGTAAGACGCGATCATGGTCTCGTGCAAGATCTGGCGCTGGGCCATCGAGTCGACTTCGTACCGGGTCGCCTGGACCGTATAGAAGAGCCAGCCAAAGAGGCAGAGCTCAGCGCCGTCATGGAGCTCGTACAGGACGCCCACGCTCACTAGGCAGCGCCATGGTGCCAATTCGCAGCTGCAACACGACGTACTGTGACGCTTGTTGAGCGTCGTCGTCGAGGTCTGGCTCAAGTTGGTCGCATAGAGCTTGCCGCGACGGAAGACGACCTCGCAGTGGTCCTTGCTCATGCTCATGACCAGGTCGCGCGCCTTGAGTATGCGCTTGTAGTGCTCGCGTTTAAAGACGTGCGTTGGCGTCTCGGGCCTACGCGGCCATGAGGCCATGCGCCAGACGAGGTAGCTCGCACCCGAGGCCGATGCGCATGTAGGCGTCGAGCCCCGCCAGCTCGTGGCGCTTGAGGCACGACGTCGTCTTGGCGTCCATGGCCAGCGTAAAGGGCGGGAGGAGCATGTCCATGTCGCCCAGCGCCTGCGAGAGCTCGTCCGCGCGGCCGCTGCTGAACATCCCGTTGCGATCTTCCGGCTTGCTGTTCACGCTACAAAACGCGAGTGGCATATGACATCCGGATACGATAAACGTATCCGGAAATGAGGCGGACATCAACTTGGCCCATGGTGTTAGAGGCTTCAACTTGGCATCCTATGGCATCCTTTTGCGTCTTGCGTGAGCATTGCCACTTGCATTGAAGACATGACGAGCTCTCTCGACGACAGGCTCGCATGCTCATGTATAGTAGGAATGGTAGCCACGTGAAAGCTTGTCATTGCTGCCAGGCGCGTGGCTACTCCAAGCCTCCTACCACTACCTTGCTGGAATCCGGGCTACGCTCGGAAGGAAGTGTCGTTGTCTCTTCTGCAAAGCTCAGCCGCATCCAAGTAGTGGGCATATATTCGAGCTCATTTGGTGGAGCGTACGAAAATTATACAATATTATATCAAATAAAAATGACAAGCGTTCAGGGATTGGGGTGTGTGTGTTTGTGTGGTATGCATGAGTCATGTGGGCTCGATGTGGCCGTTTATGACTGTTTGGGCAGTGTCGGAGTGCTTTCTGCTTTAAATTTGCTAAAATGATGAAATTCAAGCGTGGGCTACTGGTTCCGTCGTCCACTGAGGCGCCAGTGGTCAGCGGATTGGGGTTGCAAGGTGCAGCGTGACACGCCATGCGATTCGTTGAAGTCGACTTGCAGCATGACGAGGCGTCATTACCTCTCTTTTCAAGTCGCCGCGTCATGGGCTTGTGTGCACTGCTGCAGTCGCACTGGAGCGTCGAGCGCCTGCCAAAGTCACCGCGGCAGATTGACGCCGAGGCGTTCCTCTTGTGCGTTCCATCGCCGTTTGCCTGCGACGCCTACCACGTCTCGCACTGCGTGCGTTTTAGCCGGTGGCACCTCTTCGTCGCGGCCTTTGTCACGCAGTTTTGCGTTGGCTCGCTCTACGCGTGGTCGGTCTACAATGCGTACATTGACAACTACATCTTTGGCGACCCGGCAGCCGGCCACGCGGTCGTCGCCTTCTACCTTGCGTGCGGCTCTCTCGGTCTCTCGGCGGCGATTCTTGGTCCGTGGCTCGAACGCACGGGCCCCCGGTTCGCGATCGCGGTTGGTGCGACGCTCTTCTTGATCGGACACATTGGTGCTGGCCTCGGCATCTACTACAAGAGCATGGCGCTCGTCTACGTGGCCTACGGCGGCATCGTGGGGGCAGGCATTGGCATTTGCTACATCTCGCCGGTTGCCACACTCCAGGTGCGCGCCATGCGAAACGTCAATTGTATCAACATATCAAGTTGGATGTGGATAGAAATGGTTTCCCGATTTGCGTGGCACGGCCGGCGGCTTTGCCGTCTGTGGCTTTGGCGCCGGGCCCGTGCTCTGGGCGCTCCTCTTCCCGTACCCGATCAAGGTTTGGAGGTACTGTACCATTTATTTGCAAGCCATGTACCAAGGACGATCATGATGATGGGGTGTAGGACACCCGTGTACCTCTCGTTCATGATGTTTGGGGCGGGCATAAGCCTCATCCTGTATGCCTGTGCGATCGTGATGCGGACGCCACCGCCGGGCTTCTCCGTGCGTGGGAAGGACATGCATGGCATTCACCGAGCCCGCGGCCGAAGGATGGCCGACGCACACGAGAACGTCCGGCTGCCGCGGCGCGCGCCCAACGGCAACGTCATTTTGTTTGTGCCGGAAGACTTGGAGGAGGTGCCGGTGGTCGAAGTGACGACGATCGCGCATCCGCACGAGTACTACCGCGAGTCGGAGATGGACGACTCGGAGCTCTTTTACTTTCAACGTATCAAGCAGCTGCCGCTCGTCGCGTGTGTCACGTCGCCCGAGTTTGCCTTGTTGTGGGTCATGTTTTTCTTGAAATTTCGTTTGGTCTCGTGCTCATTTCGCGCCTCAAGGACATGGACTTGTACCTCTTTAGCGCCAACGTCACGGCCTTCACACCCGACGACGTCAACCGCGCCGAGCGCATGGTCAGCTACAACGGCCTCTTCAACTTTGCCGGTCGGCTTGTCGTGCCCACGGCCTCAGATCTGCTCATTCGCGGCTGCTACGTGCACCCTGCGGACGGCCGCAAGCTCATCTTCCTCTTCATTCTGGTGGTACAAGGCTGCATCGCGCTCGTGCTGCAGTCGGCGCTGGAGCAAAAGAACCATGGACTCTTCCAGACACTTGTGTGGCTCCTTACCTTTGTCTACGGCGGCGGCTTTGGCACGATCCCGTGCTTTCTCTGTGATATGTTTGGCGCCTTCAACATCGGTGCGCTTCACGGCATCATCCTCACGTGCTGGTCCATTGCGGGCGTCGGTGGCGGCCTCGGGTTCACCTCCATCTTTGACGCCGCCATCAAGACGCAGTCGACTGTCGCTGCATACGGGGCCGCAATGCCGCTCTTCAGCATCGGCGCGGCCGTGGGCATTGTCGCGCTTCTATTGGTCCGCACAAGCCCCGTCGACCGGTTCGCGCCCGGGTATCAATTTAGTATCGGTCGCTTGACGCTCTGCCACTTTGGTCGACGCAACGCAAAGACAAGCCAGCAGCCGCGCGCCCCGACGTCGGGCCGCGTGACCGGCAACGACTACCACGACCTACCGTCGCGCTCCTAACGCGATACAGGCGAAAATATATATGTATGAACGTGTTTCGCGTCATCCGTGTTGTTCCAAGGACTTTGCGTAGTACGTAGAGAGTAGCCATCTCCTTCTTCATTCGCTCGCAGGACCGGGGCGCGGGGGCTCGTCTTGCTCTTCTGTAGTCGCCCGGGCGCTTGCAGCCACGACGACAAGCCCTATACAGGTCTTCCCGATGTCGCGATCGGCGGCAAATCGACGCAGTTTGTTGGATCCTCAACAGACGCCAGCGATGGGAGGTCAGGAATATCGACAGCGTGAGCTTGGTGCGGCCTAAGAAACGGGGCGCCTCGGATGGGGCGAAGCAACGGGCAGCGGCAACGTTGGCAGGGACGTCTTTCTTCGGGCGCCACACGCGATGCCAGCGCTGGCGGGCAACGATCTCGATCGCTCAGCGGGATGCTGTCGCAGAGTCGAAGATGTGTGTAAAAAAACAACGAAATTCTGATCGGAAACGTGCATGTCATGTCCGTCGTGTGGCGTGATGGGTAAGGAATAGTACCTGCGTAAACGACCTTTCCATGGACCTGCATAGTCAGTCAGCTGGCACTGCATTCGCTTTTCAAACGGTAGAAGATGCTGTGTCATGATGATCCGTCTACTGCAAAACGGTCGCCAGTTCGGCCGTTTCGTTGGTGACGTGGCAGCGCGAGCGAGAGGCTACCTGGTACGTGTGCCCACGTGCGCTACATTGAAACCCGCTCTGCGGATGTAGTCAAAAGGTATGCGCGCGGAAACGCATGTACCTGGAGCGCTGAGCTGGCATAGTCGACCTTGAAGCTGCATGTTTGTAGCGGTAGCAAGACCTTCATAAAGGCGTGCAGAGGTCGACGTTGGCCACCGCTGGATTTTAAAGGGTCTGGCGTCTGATTTGCGATCTTCGCACCCCTTCGTCTCGCACTACTACCTTGCAGTAGGGAGGGAACGCTTCTCCCTTCGGAGACGGACGACGGCGTTCTTGAGGACTCGTTTGCTCTGGTGAAAGCACTCGGCTGCAGAGTACATTTGGACGAGCGATGAATGTTGGCACACAGGTCGTTCATGCACAGACAGCAGACCGCCTCGTCATGCGCACGGAGGCAACATGACTTTTACTGAATCCACTAGACCGGGTATGTTCAAAACCAAACGGCGTCGACCAACCAACGACCAGCAAGGGGATGGGCCAGGATGAGTTTCACCGAGTATCCTGTCAGCGATTGCCAAGTAACCCGCAGCGCGGACAGTGGTCGGCCTAGAAAAAAGTAGATCATCGAGCGCGACGCTACAGTGTCGTTGACGGAAGCAGAGACGAGTGTTTATATTACTCATTTCGAAAAGACTACTGTGCTCTAGAAAGGCCCATGACCATGCGGCCACAGCTTGCAGCCCTCAAGGGGCTATGGACGGGCTATTGACGGGACATCCGGGATCTTGTTACAAATCACGCGGTGTCGGATGCGTGTCATAGAGGAAGCTTGGGTTGCAGTGCGTCGCGGACGACAGCAACACGTGCACCTGTGAACGCCATGTGGTGTCCCTTGCCCTGAGAATTGCAGCCAACTGTCAGGCTTCCCAGCAGCGTACACGCTCTCCAGCGCAACCTTTGTAGCGTAAAGACACTCTCTTGCACACGTGTCGTCCCGAGCACTCTCCATCTTATCGCTCGAGCGTTGATCCATGGCGTTGATTCGTTCTTGGATCGCTTGGGAATTCTTGGTTTCGCTACGGCAAAGTAGCTTTGCGGAGTAGCTTTGCTCCCAGCCTCACAATTTTCTCTTCAAGCAGATGCAACGCCGGCCAATCGGATACGCAGACCAGACGATGTCCTCATCGACCGCCGCGGATGACAAGATACACATAACGCTACCGCGCTCTGATTGGTCATTGCGTTGCGACGCCCCCTATCCCGTCAACGCAGCGAGTAGCTGGCGTCAAAGACACGCTACGTCCACGCTCTTCGTGTTTGCACCATCGCACAATTCTCGATGGACCAAGCCTTGCAACGGGTCGATCACTCACTTGCTTTGTCTGGTCGAGCGGCTTGGTCGTCCCGTATATATATATTTAAATGAATAAAATACTGGGTCCTGATCCTTACGTGGCAGCACGCAAAACCGGGTGGCACTTGGGTACGCATCACGTCGGTCGTAGCATCTGTTGCTTGCCGACGAGTGGCATCGACGACAAGAGAAGAAAACGGCAACCAGATTTCAATTGAACGCGTCGATGCCAGCCGTCTTCCACAGCGTCTGCAACGGGATTCAACGCCACTATACGGTGCACCCGACGACCAAGTCGGCCGCCGAAACCAGCGCCGAGCGGTACCTCTTCTGTCTCCCGGCGCTGCGAACGCCCGACACCTTCTACGTCTCGCACTGCGTGCGTTTTAGCCGCTGGCACATCTTCGTCGCGGCCTTTCTCTCGCAGTTTTGCCTTGGCTCGCTATACGCCTGGTCAGTCTACAATGCGTACATTGACGACTACATCACGGGCGACGCCAACGCCGGCCGCGCCGTCCTCGCCTTCTACATCGCGAGCGGCTGCTTTGGCGTCTCGGCGGCGATCCTCGGTCCGTGGCTCGAGCGTGTCGGGCCGCGCTGCGCGATCACTTTCGCAACGACGCTCTTTCTATTGGGCCATCTCGGGACGGGCCTTGCGATCGCGATGAAAAGCATGGTCGGCGTCTACCTCTCGTACGGTGTTGTCGCCGGCACAGGCATGGGTCTCTGCTACTGCTCCCCGATTGCCACGCTCCAAGTACGTTTTTTGTGTGTGATTTCTTCCATTTTTCAGATGTTCAAAATTGTTGTAGAAATGGTTTCCCGACTTGCGCGGAACTGCGTCCGGGTTTGCAGTGTGTGGCTTTGGCGCCGGGCCCGTCTTGTGGGCCGTGGCGTTCCCGTTTCCGCTTCAAGCCCACCAGTACGCGATCTACCCCTGCTTTTCGTCACACCCTAACCCTCGTTATTGGTGGGTAGGGTCCCGCTGTACCTCTCGTTTCCCGCCTTTGGACTTATCATGAGTCTCGTGTTGTATTTTTGCGCCATGGTCATGCGCAACCCGCCGTCGGGGTTCATCGCCCACGGCAAGGACATGCACGGCATCAACCACGAGCGCGTCAACCTGCTCGCCCACGGCCAAACAATCGGAAGCGCGGATGACGACCGTGACGGCTCGCTCAAGAGCCGCCGGCCGCGCCAGGACGAGTGCGGCCACGTGATTCTCTTCGTGCCCGAGGACCTCGCGAGCATCCCGGTCGCCGAAGACGATCTCAACCGGACGCCGATCGCCGAGGGCGAGCCGCACCCGCATGAGTACTACCGCGAGTGCGACCTGGACGACGCCGAGCTCTTTTACTTTCAGCGCGTCAAGCAGCTCTCGCTCGTGCAGTGTCTCTTCTCGCCCGACTTTGTGTTTCTCTGGTGCATGTTTCTCTTCGCCTCTATCTTTGGCCTCGTCATGCTATCGCGGCTAAAAGACACGGACTTGCGCGTCTTCAGCGGTAACGCCACCGCGCCGACGACCGCCGACGTCGACCGCGCCGAGCTCATGGTGAGCTACAACGGCATCTTCAACTTTGCCGGTCGGCTCTTGTGGCCGATGGCGTCCGACATCGTCATTCGTCTCGGCGGTCTCAACCCGGCCACGGGCCGCAAGCTCATCTTTGGCGTCAACCTCTGCGTCCAGCTCCTCGTGGCGCTTCTTCTACGGAGCGCGCTGCGCACAAAAGACCACGTGGCGTTTCAAGCGCTCGTCTGGACGCTCACCTTTGTCTACGGCGGCGGCTTTGGCACGATCCCGTGCTTTCTCTGCGACATGTTTGGCGCCTTCAACATCGGCGCGCTCCATGGCATCATCCTCACGTGCTGGTCCATCGCTGGCGTTGGCGGCGGCCTCGGGTTCTCGAGCCTCTTTGACGCCGCCAAAACCCACCACTCGATTCTCAATGCGTACGAAACCGCGCTGCCGATGTTTGCGATCGGTGCCGGTATTGGCCTTCTATCGCTGCTTCTCGTCCGCACGAATCCCGTCGACCGGTTCGCGCCTGGGTACCAATACAGCGTCGGTCGCTCGATCTGGTGCAGCTTCAAGCCCAAGGGCTGGCAGTTTCAGCACGTTTAAGACCAGGATGTAACCGCCATGGACGTTTTATGTATATACAGTTGGCCACCCGTGTGTAGACCAAAAGGTAAAGAAATATAATATATTTGTACAAGACGACACGTGCTGGTTCAACGTCTGGCGAGTCTGGTTCAACGTCTGGCGAGTCCGGAACGATCGCGTCTTTCGCGCCGACCTACCGCTGCCAAGTCCATGGACGATCGCCGTCAAGGTGGCACGCGTCGCTCAACTGCACGTGCACCACAGCCTCGTACAAGAGCCCGAGCAGCCTGCTCTTCGTCGGCTTCTCCGGCTCCTCGCCCACCACGAGTGGCCGCGCCAGCGCCTTGTCCCGCGGATCGCGCTCCTGCCTCCGCCTGCCTAAACCAAGTCCCTCAACCGAGTACACACAACGAAGAAAGTCCGACAATTTTATTTAGCATAGTTTTATCTATAGTAATAGAAGACCCACTTCAACAACAAAAACGACACGTGTGGTTGGTATCTCGCGGCCCTAGTTGAACAATGGCACATCGGCGAACGATCCTCGTCCGAAACGTGCGGTAGTGGCCCACCGAAGCGGCTTACTAGTAGATCGTAGTCGATCTAGCTTTCTTTTTAGTCGATCTAGGGTAGACTGGACCCGGCAAGGATTGCCCCGGACTCGAAAACGCATGTCGCTAAAAGTAGCCACCCGAAGGACGTGATGCAGAGGATTGGCACCGCGGTAGGTATCTTGGTGCATCTACTGAATTTCTCCAACCATCCTGGCCACCAATATCCTTTCAAGTACCGGTATACTACATAGTCGTCGCTACGGTCGATGGATGCTCGTAGTATTATAGACATTGGGAATAAATAAGGGTCGCGGCTACACGACGGTAGACGAGAGGCACCGGCGCACCGCGTTTGCCTGCGTGTGCGGGCTCAACACCGGGTGGCAGCGGCCCCGTGGCGCGTGAATGGGATCGAGATGCGTCACAAACGCGATGATGCACGCGTTGACGTGCTCCTTGAGCGCGGGCTGCGCAGCGCTGTGGATATGGCACAGGCGAAGCACGTTGGTCAAGTGATTTTCCAACTGGCCGCACATGCCCTTGATGACGAGCGCGTCGCGGTGGCCGAAGAGCGATTTTTTCGGGCACGGAAAACCCGCGATCGACTGGAGAAACGCTGTCGCCGACTTGGGCGCCGTCCGCAGCGCCTTGTAGAAGCGCGCAAAGTCCTCGTAGACGCAGTCGACGACGTAGACGTGGCTGCCGCTAATGACCTTGACGTGGTAGACGATCGAGTGCTTGGCGAGGAAGCCCTTGCGCTTGACCATGCTGGTGCCCGTGATGCGGCAGTTGGCGATCTCGAGCCCGCGCACGATGTACATGTCGTCGAGATTGCTCGAGCTGAGCTGCCGACGCATGCTCGCACCGGCCATCAAATGGAGAAGTGAGAGGATCCACGGAAGGCGTTGGATGTTGTTGGGTCACTCGACACATCACAAAGGGTGGTCGTGGCCGCTTTTTTAATGGGACCCCCTACAGGAATCCCCCACTATGATGCTATTGTTTGTATCGCATGGAAGACGAGGGACCCCCTAAAACATAACGACTGGTCCATACAAAACCAGCTGAGACGATGGACTGCCTAGTCAACCGGAGTGCGAGGAAGGTGGCTCTAAAACATCTGGCAGCCGCATCCATTTCGACGTGTCGGATCTGCGGATGTGGCGCCTCGAGCCACATCGTGGCACGCCAGGGTGCAGGGACGAGCTGGGACGTCGCACCTCATAGTGTACAGAGCACGGCTTCCCTTTCTCTCATTGACAACTGCCCGCTACCGCTGCCTCGCTCGCTGCCCAGACATATAGGTGTGCTGCATTTCGACGCGTCGTTCGATTCAAAGTCATAAGGACGCGTGGCAGCCTAGGATGCCAGAGAGAACACGGGAGAGAGAAGGGAGCTCGCAGTGGGTGCTGATGAGCGTACTACCGGCGTTGTTCGTTCAACTTCCATGGTCCATTACCTTGAACAGCGCGGTGCCACTCTAGTAGCAGCAGCGCCTTCATGTTGCACATCAAGCCAGTGACGTGTACTGTACCATTGTCCTTGCCGCTCGCCTCGTCAACGCTATAACTGTGCGCGCTGCTACGGGCCACGCGACGAAGCGCCTCACCTCCACTTCGGGGTTGGCTCTCATCAAAGGCCTCGTTATTTGACCTGTTTTACGTCTTTCAAACGACAGCGTCGGTGTCTAAGACGGAGTACAACAAGATAGTATTTGCTTGCTCACGCTGGTGGCAACGAAGCGTTAAATAGGTCGTTTTTGGCGGGCTGCACGGTCGATGCGATCACACAGAGCAAGCAAGCGTCGAGCGATGCTTGCAGAGGGCGCGAGGTCGCTGCGCACTGCGCGCCAATCTTGAGGATTGCGACGAGGTGGCACTCGAGCTGCCCGCACATGCCCTTGATGCTCAGCGCGTCGTGGCGACCAAAGAAGAGCGTTCGCTTGGGGCACGGAAACGCTGCGATCGCCGTTTTCAGGCTCGCGTCCAGAGCCCGCAGGCGCTTGTACAGCCGCGCAAAGTCGTCGTGCGACCAGTCGAGGACGTACTTGTCGCCGTTGGCCGCGACGACCTTGACGTGGTAGACGACCGTGTGGGCCGAGAGGTGGAAGCCGCGGGTCTTACGCCGGCAGATGCTCGCGCCCGTGATGCGGCACCGCGCCGAGAGCATCCCATGCGCAATGGTCCCGAGGTCCATGACGCTCCGCCCACGATTGGCGACTGATGGAACACCCGGAAAAGCGTGTTCCATAAACCATTTGGTTTTTGTATGGTGACGTGGCAGCCGGAGAGGCCGCGTGGAGCCAGTACGTCGGGCAGATGGCGAGATTCGTGTGCGTGCGTCCGACGCGTTGGCAGCAGGGACGCGGCCAGTTCCCGAGACGCGCGAGGCTGAAGCGTTCGAGGCGTCGCCTGCCGGCGAGCGTCGGGCGCATCGCATCGTCTCTACTGCCTGAGTTCCTCAGATTCACGTCGCTAGGAGAACCCTGCCCGGCTTCGACTCAGACGTAAACCGATCTTTTGGAAGCCACATGGCACGATGGTAATGCGTACCCAGAAAGATTCGACGCTAGAGAGCCGAGGTAGGTAGACGGCTTGTGGTTGCGGTTGTCTTGCTCGTCCCAATCGTTGCTAGCTGCGAGGTTGCACTCGCGAGAAGGCGACAGCTAGTACCCTCCAGCGTCGCCTCGGATGGCTAGCGACAATGATGACGGCAGCGACACACGATACAATGCACACAGCATCCTGGGCTAAGCTCCCGGACAATCTAGATCAAGGAGCTCCAAGCCTCTACGCATCGGCTGCAAGCTGTCTCGTCTTGCGTATTACATTGAAGCCGCTGTCGGAAGCTTGCATTGAATGCGGCCAAAGGCAGATGAAACAAAACAGCTCCTTCGCCCTTACGTGCGCCCTTCGCTCTTTCGCTGCCGGCGTGCGAGCTCCTCCTGCTTGGTTGAGCGGGTGATATACAGCACCATCTCGACGACCATCATGGCAATCGTGGCGGCGAGGCCCATGAGCAGACGCTAGTACATAGGCATGACGATGCTAGGAGCCAAGAGGGATGGCGCACCGAGGTTTCGTTGTCCGTGACGCTGCGGGCGATGTAGTAAGCGACGAAGAACGCCGTCGCCATGCCGGCAATCATGTTGGCGCCGATGGAGAGGTGCTGCGAGACCGACTTCATCTCGCGCTGCATGTCCGAGTCCGCCTTGGGCCGCTCGAGCTTGCCAAGCATCTGGTTGTACGACTTTTCTTCCTGGCGCCGCTGCAGGTACTGACGCCGCTTGGCCAAGTACGTCTGCTTCTCCTTCGAGGCGACGGCTACACGACGACGCATCAACCCATGCCATCACGCGACGCTCATAAAGGTACCGGATGCCACGGGCGTAGCCGAGAGCGACGCGCCATGGAGGAGCTCCTTGACGGACGATCCGCTGGAAGCGCGCTGGAAGCGGAGGTAGGCGGCGGCCTCCCGCAGCGGGACGCGGTCACCGCTGCCGCAGACCAAATCCATCGCGAAATATCCACGTGGGATATACCCAACCTGCCGTAGGTCCCTAAAAACACGCCACTTACAGTTCCACGGCGATCGTAGCATGGGTCCTTTTAGCCTTTAAGGGTGCGTTGGTTTAGCCATTCTGCAGCGCACTGGGGACAAACCTCCTGGAATTAAAAACTGCGATCTACATACAATAGCCAAGTGAGCATAAAATATCGGATTTGTAGTGTCCCATTGTTCCACCGGTAACCCATGGCCGGCAGCAGCAGCGCCAGCATGCGCGACCGCGTGGACGTCTGCCTGAACGAGCACCGCTTCATCGCGTACAAGCTGCTCGAGTCGCTCTCGCATGCGTCATCCAACACGACGCCGACGATCCTGCGCACGACGGACTCGCTCTTCGAGGCCATCCTCAAGAAGGACCGAGTCCTCCTGCAGACCGTCAAGCAGCGTAGCGTACTCGCGCCGCGCCGCGTGGGCTCATGGCCTCGGTAGTGAACGCGCACCAGGCCGCACAGAAGGAGCTCGACAACATCAAGGCGCAGATCGCAGAGAAGGAAGCCAAGATCGTGCAGTACGCCCGAGAGCTCCGAGGCGGGTCCGTGGCCGCTCGTCGACGCGACTTGCTCATGCGCGCCTAGGCAAAAGGCCATCTCCAACGTGCTGCTCAAGCACCGCCGCGTGCTCTCGAACGCCAAGGCGTCGTCGACGACGTCCCACATGAAGCCCCAGGACATCATTGCGTATGCCCACAAAGTGGCGTCGACGTCGAGCGCGCCCGCGGGCTGGCAGCCAGGGGTACGTTCCTTCACACTACATCGAACTCATGCATGCCGTAGTATCCGATGTTTGGCTTTATGCCGCCGGCACCGACGCCAGAGATGATGCGCGCTGGCGTTCTCAGTCGCGGCAGTAGGCGCCTCCTATCCTCCATGACCTCATGCTCTCATGCTAGTCATCGACTCGATCGTGACGAAGGAGACCTCGTCGTATACGTCCACGAAGCGGTCACTGGACGCGTCGTCGGCCGGCGTTCCGTCGGCTGTCGGCGACGTTCGCATCGGCCTCGGTATCTCGGACGAGGAGATTAGCAAACTCATTCCGCCAGGGTGGAAGCCAGGGTATTCGATCTATCTCGGGTAGATGGATCTCTCATTGCCCGATGTAGCGACCCGATCGACTTGCCGGCCGAAGCACTCGTGCGCCTTCGTGGCCCGTCCGTCTTTGCGGTACGCATGCTATTATGGTCATCTGGTGACGACTGGATTGGTGTTGTAGGAACATGGCATCGAGGTGCCCGGGCACATCCTCAAGGCCATCAACGAGCAGCCCATCCCGCCCGTGTACATGGAGCAGCTCCGTGCCAAGCTGGATGAAAAAACTCCTGGACATGTTGATAAGAAGCCGCGGCTCGACGACGCGCCGGACGAGGCCAGCTCCGAGAGTTCGAGCTCCAGCGACGAAGGGTATCGACGTGTCTTCCTTGGCTTTGGCGTCTCATGCAGATGGTGTGGTAGGTCGGACGCCTCCGACTCGGAGTCGGAGCAAGTGCCCAAGATCCGCATGACACTCTCGGATTCCGAAGACGACGACTAGGACGCCTACGTAATATGGCTAGTAGAAGACACGTGCATGGTTCCTCTCTGTAGTAGTTGCTTAGTAGTAAACTCGGCTGAACTTGCCTCGCAGCCAAAGTGCAAAGTCGAAACGGCGCCGCAGCGCGCCACGTGGAAAGCGTCAAGATACGTTACATTCAATCAAAGTATGACATACAGTGCCCTAGATGTTTTGTTGTGCGTCGTGCCCGAGTGGTCTTCTTGGGAATGCTGGTGCAAGCGTCCATGGCGCGCGGCAGATGTGTGTGGCGGCGAGCTCGAGACGCTCTCGAAGCGGTTGCCCACGAGGTCGCTGCAGCAGACGTTCTCTTCAGTAGTAGACGTCGTGGGACCCGCGATCTAGACAAGGGACAAGGTCATATCTTGCCACCGGTGGCGGCCAATGAGGGCCGCGACTTGACGGTGATCGCAGCTCCTCCTCTGCTCATCGTGCGCTTCAGCTGCACTACAAAAACCACACCTTGTCGACGCCTGGTGATGTCGCACGTGCTTGCATACAGGGTGATCCGGCGACCACCATGTTTGCCACCCCTTTGCAACGCTGCACGCGCGAGCAGAGGTCCACTGAGTCTGCCTGGAACGCGTACGCAAGGGGGTGGCCCTTGATCGAGGCAGTAGCTTGTGGGTAACGCGCCTGGGACTTGGTCGTTATCAAGAATAGCTATATCGCTGTAAATAGACCGCACTTTCGATCATAGTCGTTGGCATGACGAGCTGCAGCGCCAGCGAGCTCTTGCCCGGCAGCGCCACCTGCCTAACGCTGACGACGCAGAACGATGTCTTTGCCTCGTCCTCAACGCTCACACCGGCCACGACCGTACATGGCCTTTCTTCCGCTATCTCTGATTGGACTAACTAGTCGACGTCGCTGATGAGCTTTGCCCAAGACGCCGTCTCGACCAAAGGCGCGGCCACCGCGCTCTTTGAACGCGTCGACAGCATCCGCGGCTACACGGACAGCTGGTTCCGCAACTCGCTCCACGCGATCGCGGTGTACGCCTGCGACACCATGCTCTCGGCCAGCGACAAGCAGCGCTGCGTGGCGCGCGGTACGTATCCTCGGGTGCAAGCATGTATCTGGACGAGATCGTAGACGACCCGAGCGCGGTCTTGAACGGCACGCTTTGCTTTCGCGTTGGCGGCGACGGCAACTGCTTTGACCAAGGCCTCTGCGAGCGCGCGGCCAACTGCTACTGGCCGCCGCCCATGGTCAACCGCACGCCCCACTACACGGAGGCGAACCTCCGGGCCGCGTCGGCGTGGGTCACCTCCGCGTACCCCAAGTCTTTTGTACCGTACGCGATCCCCGGCGTCTTCCTAGCGACGCTCGTGTTTCTCGTGACGGTGGTCTTTCTCATTTTGCGCTGCGGCTGCGACCGCTGCTACGGCAACCGACCGCACCGCCACGGGTAGGGCCGTCCACCCCTTCCACCCCCAACCCTAATGCCACGTGTAGCTACACGCGGGCCGAGCGCTCTCGGCCGGTGCTCGTCTACGGCTTTTCTGCAACGGCCGTCGCGCTCTGTGCGGCATTCGCGTTCACTCAAAACCAAATCATCACCAAGGGGATCAACGGCGCCTTCTCGGCCGTCGACATGTCCCTCACCAACCTGCAGACGATGACGCGTAAACTTGTCATACTGCCACAGCGGAACACAAGCGATGGGTAGGCAATGTGGACAAGCCGCTGGCGCATGTCGCGTCAGCCTTGAACAGTACGGTCGTCGAGATCCAGCTGCGTAAGGCCCACCCATCCCGACGCGACGACACGAGCTGTGTACGTAGAGCTCAACCCGACAGCCACGAGTGCGTGGATGAACGACAACATCACCACGCTTTGGACGCTGCGCGCGCATTTGGAGTTTAGCTTGGCTCACCTGGGGCCATACCCGATCGGGTGCACGTTAAACTCGACCGATGTACGTACGAAGCTTCCTTTTGCTACAGTGCCACACGCAGAGGACGTAGGTGTGTGTGACGTGCCCGCCAGCACTCTGCGAAATGTTTCCTATCGTATTCAACGCGACCGTGGATGCCTTCAATGCGAGCCACACAACGACCGAGGCCGTCGTGACCACCTTGTACTCGCGCCTCCAGCTGTGCGTATCCAGCCATCTCCCTCTCGATCGTTTTATGCGCTGGGTGTAGATCCCAGGAAACGATCCTGGCCGCGCTCGAGAGTGCCGATACGTACCTCACAAGCGTCCAGACCAAAGCAGCGACGACGCAGGCCAGCGTGCACAGTGCGTACTCGGCGTTCAGCGCCATCTCGGTGGCGCAAGTGGTCGCGCTCATGACTGCCTTTGCTTTCGGCGTCGCCGTCTGCGCGCTGGGTCTTCCTGCTTTGCATTCGTTGCGCTCACTGACAACGAGCGGCGTGTAGGGCTGGTGGGCATCGTCGCCGGGCACTGTTCCCGCAAGAGCTGCCTCGTGCGCGTTCTCAACGGCGCCTGGTGCGAAAACGTCCGGCTCCGTGTGCGTGCTCATCCAAGCCAACTAACTAGGCTCTGGGGCGCGACGGTCTGCATGGGCGGCTTCGCGCTCTCGGCGGCCATCTTGATTTTTGCGATGCTTGGCAGCGACACCTGTCATTACGTGGCAGTCCTGCGGGACAACAGCAGTACGCCGACACACCATCCGTTCGATGGGCTGAAATGGATCTAGCGTCCGTGTGGCCAGGGCAAGCGTCCGAGATACTGCACGCATGCGTTCACAACACGTCGCTCCTCTCGGCGCTTGGCATTGAAGAGGAGCTAGCGTTCAGCTGTCCGCTCGAGCAAGAACTTGGTGCAGCCAATGCGCTCCCGCTGACAGCCTTGGTGACGGCCATGACCAACCTGAGCCAGACACTGCATGCGTACGTGTTTCTACATACATGTATCTTCCAACGTGAACGACTGGGTAGGGCCAACGAGTCGGCGTGGGTGACCACGCCTGCCGCCGACTTGGTCGCTGAGGCCGCTGTGCATACGCCGCAGCTGACATTGGACAACCTTCCGCGACCGTGGGAGGCCGACGGGCACGCGTCCTTGCAGGCGTCGGGCGAATCGACCTGCTACTTTGAGTCGACGACGAACGCGCCGCGCTGCTACATGAGCAAGTCGTGCAACAGCGTCGCGACCGCTTGCTACACGACATACGTGGCAGCCTACGATACCTACCTCGCTGAGTCGCAGATCCGCACGGCCCTCGATCAGATCGACGTACTAGATCCTAGTCCCTGGAACTGCAACTGACGCGTGGTGTAGACGGACTTTAGCGGCGGCAGTGGGACGCACTCGCCCGGCTGGAACGCGTCGATTCCGTCGGTTGCAGAATTTGCGACCGCCTACGTCGGCAACCTCACGCAGCTGCGGACGTCGGTGCTGGGGCCGCTGCAGAAAGGCGTCGTCGGGACGCTCCTCACCCACGTCAACACGACGACCTGCAGCATGGACTGCGCATGGCTGGATGCGAGCTACGACCTCCTCTACGACAGTGTCTGCTCGAACATCGTCGGCGCTCTGCTGACGATCGCACTCTGCCTCTTCCTCATGTGCTTCTTCCTCCTGCCCGTCATTGCCTCTGCGATCGTTCTGGAGAAGCGATTGCGAGGTCTGCGCAAGGTACACCTCGCCCCACGATGCTGGATATTTACGCTATCGGTTAGGAGGACCGACCAAAGCGGCTTGCCCAGGCCGCTGTGCCGCCGTCCACGCAAGTGTAGGCGGCGCGAAAGAAGCTATTGACAATATTGATCTGTGTCCGTTGTATTTTAAACTACGTCGCTCTTTTCTGATGGGCGAGGAATAGGGTAGGGTTTAAGCCCACGGACCAGGAATAATTAAGGGTCGAGGCGAGGTGCGCCGCCGACAAGATATCTACACGACTTGATAGACAGCTTCGTCGGCGACATATTCCTAGTCAGCACCTTTGATACACTAGACCAAATGGCATGACCGTACCATCTCTAAGAAGTCGCATAGCGCCAGCGAGTTCTGCACGTCAAAGTGCGGGTGGGACAGCACGGCCTAGAGACGTTTGAATCTCTTTCAGCATAAATCCAATCCAAAGGGTACGTTGAGGTAGCGCTCGAGCTTGACGCGCCGGGTGTCGATGCGCTTGGGGTTGAACTGCTTGAGAAGCGTCTTTTCTGGGAAGAGTGGGCCGAGCTTGACGCATTCGGGCAGCTACACACTTGTCAACATCTCGTTTCTAGCAATCGTCTCGATACTTCGTCGCGTAAAAACACAAAGTCGCTAAACCGTCGGCGCACGCTCCACGTCTCGTCTTCGGTCGTGACCAGAATCTGCACCACGGAATTCGATTCTAGATTCTAATCGCTAAGAGCGCTACCTTGTACGACACGAAGGACGACGAGGACATGCGCGTGATCGTGTACGACGGAATGCTGACGCGGACGCGGTCGGTCGGCGGCGGAAACAGAATTGACTCGTGCACCTAATGCCCGTTAGACGATACGCAGTGACCAGACTCCAAACCGGCGTCCGCGGGCGGTGGGGGAGGTACTGGTCGAGGGACCCGTACATCTGCTGGACCCACTGCTTGCCGTGGGCGTGGATCGACGCGATCGACTTCATGCGTTGGCGAGACAGCGCGAGCACTTCTGGCGACAAATTCGTCAAGTCGCGCTGGGTCCAAAAGCTCGAGACGGCAAGGCACGTAAAGCTGCCGTACACCACGCAGTGCAGCGCGAGCTTGGCGTGGGCGACCTCGTCCCACCACGAGGTCATTGACGTGATCTGCGGCGTGTGAGATGAGGTATACATATACTTGTAAAGCGCACCGCCGAGTAGAGGGACTTGGTCATGAGCGCCCAGCGAAACACCCAGAAGAAGCGCAGGAGCGTCGAGGTCGTCAAGCTCCGGCGGTGCTCCATCCAAATGAGCCACGTTGACATGGCCTACGCACACATATCTCCTTGATCGTCGGTCGAATCGAGGACGAGGTGCGACTACCCAGGTCATCGACTCGGCGAGAAAGGCTGCACGCAGCGCCCACGGCTCGTCGGGGAGCCATATGAAGACCCAGAAGCCAAGAAACGAGAGCGTCGCCAGCATGGTGGAGGCCAAGGCTCGGGCGCAGAGCTACGAATATGGATCGTCACTGGTGAAAGTGCTGCGTGGCGTCCGAGTACCTCGACGGGGAAGATGATTTCGGAGAGGTACAGTGCCTGGGGAAAGTATTGGGTGGAGCCAATTGGCAACTTCATCACGTCCTATCCCGTCCTCTACCAAACCGTTTTTAGTGATTGATGTCGCAATAGATTTTATTTTTTATAACAACACGTATTATATTTTTTAATGGTTGGAATGACTAGCCTACAGTGGTACAGAAATGATTACGTAATATCGCCAGTTTCAGAAGTATGGGGTTAAAAGCAGACTAGAGCAAAAACGCACATAATTATAAGCATTATAGATAGGAAACTTGTACTTTAATACTTGGTAGGACCTCCGTTGTTATCGCGAACTGCTTTGAGTCGGCGTGGCATGGAATCAACAAGCTTTTGGACATAATCAAGT